CCCGCCCCGCACATCTGGGCCCGGAGCCCCGCTGCCCGAGCCCCTGCGCTCCTTCCTCGCCGCTCCGCGGAGCCAGCCCTACCTTAGGCGGCGGCCCCTCGAGGCTCGAGTCCAGCAAGGCGGCCTCCGGCAGCCCCGGGTCCTCGTCCACGCTGATGAAGATGGCCGGGGTCTCCCCCTCGGGCCCCTCCTCCCGGAAATCCACGGCTTCGTCCGGCTGCGGGGGGGCCGGCCTGGCCGAGGAGGAAGAGGGGGCTCCCACTCCCCCAGGCTTCAGCTTCTGTTCCTCCTCCAGCTGCCGCTTTAAGGCCTTCTCCTGGGCCAGCCGCAGGCCCATGAGGTCCTGGGGGGGTCTGGGGGCCGGGGCCGGGGCGGGGGCCGGCGCCAGGGGCTCCAGGTCATCCTGGGGGCGGGAGGGGCACACAGAAGCTCAGGGGTGGGTGGGGCTCGGGCCCAGGCTGCTCTGAGGATGGTGGCAGACAGCAGGATGGGCACGGAGTCAGGGCAACTGTCCCCCACCCCACCCCCCTTTCGGCAGGAGCCCCCCAGAGCGGCGCGGTGTCGGGCGGGGGACCCTCACCTCCTCCAGAGGCCCTGCAGGAGTCTCCTTGGCCTCCGGCTCCTGCTTGCCACTGGCCTCCAGGATGGCCATGATGGAGTTGGGGATGTGTGCTTGCTAGGGGAAGAGCAGGGAGGGGTGCTGCGGAGAGCTGTAACTCAGAGAGCCCCTCCTGGGCACCCCAGATGCCTGGATGGTCCCTGGCCCTCCAGAACCCTTGACATTCTGTGGCCCTGCAGGGCTCCCCCTCTGCCCACTCCCCTCCCAGTCCCCCGGGGCTGGACCCATGGGGCCAACCACCCCACATCTTGGGGTACCTGATGGGGGGTGAAGGAGCGGACATGGGCCAGCAGGGGCTCCCGGAGCTCTGGGCACTTGTCAAACACGGCGCCCAGCTGCTGGGGTGGCAGCTGCAGGATGACCTGGAAGCTCTGGGGCTTGGTGCGTTGACAGCATTTGATGAAGCCCTCCCACACTTTGGGGTACTTCCACACCTGGATGGGCAGGGAGGAAGGGGGCATAAGGGGGCATGCAGTGGCCGCCCTGGGAACCGGAACGACCGTGCCAGGACGGGGCCTTGCTGGGGCTCAAATCCCTGCCATCACACAGACTCCCTTTGGGCTCCACACAGCCCTGACCTCCTTACAGAGGATCGAACCTCCTCTTCTAGCTCGCTGCAGCTGGGGCAGGAGGACAAGGAGAGAAGAAAACAGTGGCCCTTTCACCCTGGTCTCCCTGGGCCAGGCCCAGGCTGTGTGGTGAGCATTTCATTCCCACAGCGGCCGCCAGGGGGCGTCATTCGCCCTGAGAAACAGAGGAGGCCGGAGAGATGCAGGGACTTGTCCAAGGTTACCCTGGTAACTAGAGGCAGAACCAACATCTGACCCAGGTCTGTGTGAATCTGCATTTAGCCTCTAAGCCAGATGGAGCCACGTGGCAGCCTGCGGGCCGAGTCCAGCCTGAGGGCTTGTGGAGGTTTTGGTTTCATCATGGTCTCCTGAACACCGATTTCCAGCTTCTCCTGAAAACCGGCCCACCTTTCAGCTCTAGGATGCATGCTGCCTAGGTGCAGTGGTGGGGGAAAGGGCAGCCATGCCTTTCCTGGGATGCGCACACCTGCCTGCTTCTAGCACCCACCCACCCATCAGGTAGCTACCCCATGGCTGAAGTTGGACCCCAAGGGCAGGGCAAAGGGCTGGCCAGTGTGGGTGGAGCTTGCTCTCCTCATCTGGGCTCCCTCTAGGGCAGTGGTTCTCAACCTTCCTAATGCCGCGACCCTTTAATACAGCTCCTCATGTTGTGGTGACCCCCCACAATAAAATTACTTTCGTTGCTACTTCATAACTGTCATTTTGCTGCTGTTATGAATCATAATGTAAATATCTGATATGCAGGATGTATTTTCATGGTTACAAATTGAACATAATGAAAGCATAGTGATTAATCACAAAACAATATGTAATTATATCTGTGTTTTCCGATGGTCTTAGGTGACCTCTGTGAAAGGGTCGTTGGACCCCCAAAGGGGTCGCGACCCACAGGTTGAGAACCGCTGCTCTAGGGGGTGAGAGGCAGGCAGGCTGGAAAAGCCTGCGGTCCGGCCTCATCTACCTTAGTTCCTGCTGCAGCCAGTCCACTGCCGGGGGCCTGGATGGTCCAGGGCGGGTTACCTGCTTCATGATGAGGCGGGACAGGATGTTCATGACGAAGCCCCCCAGGCGGGGGTACATGGTCAGGGACTGGATGACGGTCCTCATGAGCAGCATGGGCAGGGGACTCTGCTCCATCAGCTGCTGCATCACCACGGCCAGCACCTCCGATGTGTACACGTTCCGCTCCGCAAAGCACAGGTTGGTGGCTGCGAGGAGGCGGAGAGTGGGCCTGTCCTCTTTGCCCGGCTGCCCCCCGGGGGGTGGGAGCGCCACCACCCTCAGAGAGCACTAGCCCCACTTTCTGCCCGCGTGCAGACCCAGACCAACTTGCAGAAGCTCCGGGCAAAACAGGACACTGCCCCCACCCAGCAGAGGGTCTCTTCCTGAGGGGACTGGCCTGGTCCTTGCAAGCCTGGTGGCTTGGCCCCAGGGGGAAGGCATGGCCAGCTCCCGCATGCCCCACACTGGACACCGTGGGGAGACTGGGCCCTTCCTCTGAGGACAACCCTTGGAGAGCCGAGGCAGGAAAGGCACGCTGTCAACCGCTGGGGACCCATTCTGGCTTGATCTGGGCAGCACAGCACCTCCACCCCTACTAGACAGGAAGGCAGCTCTGAATTCCATAAACACCCCGTAGTGGACAAGAGAGATGGCCCTTCACCAGCAAGGGACCACCCACACCCAACCCTCCTCAGGGCATAGGGCATGTGCTACTGCTGGGGCACCAAGCCAAGAGTATGTGGGGGCACGACCCATAGAGGAAGAAGGGAGGGTGAGGAAGCCAGGTATACACTCAGCTCCCCAGCTCAGCTGCCAGGCCAGCAAGGGCCCAGGAGGGCTGGCACAACACAAGCACCCACGAAGGCCTGGGGTCTGCTCCCTTGGGAGTGGGTTGTGGCACCCTGACATGAGCGGGATGGGTGGTGCTCCCATCCATTGTGCTAATGGGGAGGCCCCAGCCAACTGCCTCTGAACCCCTCTTCCCCAAACACCACTGGCCATGTGAGTCTGTCAACCAGGAAGTCTTTATTGAGCTAAAAGAAAGGCCCCCAATACTTGCGAGGCTAATGGAGAACAGGGGTGGGCACTGTAAGGAGAGGGGGCAGCTCCCATTAGGAAAAGGGGGGGATGAAGAATTACAGGTGGACAGGTGGGAGGAGGCGGGGCAGGGGACAGGGCGGGTATCTAGGCCAAAGGGCAGCGGATAGTGTACGTGAGGAAAGTGTCAGAGAGCACCTGCCGGACACTGAGGGGGCTGCCCCTCCCCTCACTTCCAGGCCCTCCCAGCTCCCATCTATTTTCCCGCAAAGCCTCAAGTCGGCCTCGTCCCCTCTCCTCCCCCTCAGCTCTGCCCCAGCCTCCTCCTGGGCTGTCCCCCTCAGCCCTCTAACCCACCCTCCACACAGCTGACTGAAGGGTCTTTTGAAACTCAACCTGACCTTGCACCTCCCAGAGGCCCTTGAGATCCAGTTCTATGGGGGCCCAGGCGGGTTTCCTCAAGGATTACAGGCTATGCAAGTGCATCTCTTGGCCTCTGCAATTTTTCTTCCTTTCTCTGGGACGGTCTTCTCTTCTGCTGCCTCACCCCTGCTCATCCTTCTGTGGCCTCCGCTCAGGTGTCCTCTCCTCCGGGAAGCCCTCCCTGATGTCCCTCACCAGAGGCTAGGTGGCCCCTCTGAGCTCCCCTATCCCAACCTGGCTCACTGAGTTGTTACTGAGGATGGATTGTGACCCCTGCCAGGGCAGGGTCAGAGCTGTCTCTATCCCCGCTGTGTTCCTAGCACAGCCCAGCACAGGGCTGAACAGAAGTGCTCAGTGAGTGAATCGCTGGACTAGACTTGAGCGCAAGTCTAGTGATAGAAAAACTCACCAGAGAAAGGGTGCTTTAATGGGGGGCATTGCTAATACTATCAGCTACTGGGGTTCGATGGTGCACAAAACAAGACTGGACTTTGATCTGGAGCTTATAGTCCAGTGGAGTGACTGGTGCCTGAGCAGAGAAAGTGCTGGGCACTGACTGGACTGGTGCGGGGACGGCAGCTGGCCGGGAGCACCGGCCGCGGGAGGCTGTGTGGGCCGGGCTGGCAGGAGGCAGCGGGGGCGTTCTCAAGGCCAGGCCATGCTGACACCTCCGGGGGCTTGGTTCCCACGTGGAAAACCAGGCACTAAATCCAGATCCTCGAATGGGCTCAGCGGGGGGCGGGGTCTGCGAATCCCCTCAAATTGCACACAAAGCCGTGTGAGCTCATCGTCGTCGGGAATGAGCCCGTAACTTTCCTCAGATCATCAAAGCGGCCGGAGAGAGTAAGCCCACTCCGGACCCCGGCTTCCAGACCCTTCCCCGAGGGGCTGGTGGAAGTTGGTTTTTCGTTTCATCGTGGTATTCCTGAAACCCAGATTCTAGCTTCTCTTGGAAGCCGGCCCACCTTTCTGCTCTAGGACGCAGCCTGCCTGGTGCACAGGTGGGGCAGGGCCACTGGAGGCCGGTGCCTCCTCGCCGGGTGTGGGCTTAGAGTTTAGAGCTCCTCCCGACTGAACGGGTGCAGAGCCTGCTGGGGAAGGCTAGGCACCCAGCACTGAGGCAGCTTTCAGGCCAGACACGGAAGTAAAGGGACAGGAGGGGAACCGCCACCGCCTCTGAAAGGGGACAGGAGGAATCAGAGCACAGTGTCTTCCGAGTGAGCAAGCGACAGGAAGGGCGTCCACCTCCGCTGCAGGGAAAGCTTGGCTTCTGGACCAGAAACCTTCTCAGGGAGGGGGAGGAGGACGGGGGGGAGGGGTGCTGAGAGCCGAGGGAGAGGAAGAGGTGGAACCGGTGGGACCGGCAGGACTGGGCCTCCAACTCAGGTCCACTGACTTCAGATTCTGTTGTATTTACTACACCACGTGGGTGCTGTGTGGCCCCAAGCAAGTTACTGAACCTCTCTGAACCTCCATTTCCTCGTCTACAGAATGGAAGTCCGCATTCTCCCCAGGTAACGGGTGTGGGCTGGTAGGCAGCCTGTAGGCACCCGGGAGAGCCTGGCTCAGGGGGGCACTCAGGAAAAAGGGTCAGCAGCTACCATGAAACTGCTGATGGTGGCGAGCCCGTCACCTTGTCACCACCACCCCCGCCCCCGCCCCACCGTCTCCTGTCGCAACTGGAGCTCAGACGGGACGGCATCTCCTCCTGGCCCAACCTGGGCCCTGGTGCCCCCTGCCCACCCCACACACTAGGCTGCAGGCTCTGCTTCGATCCTTGGGCCAGGGCTGGGGAGGGAGGGGCACCCCAACTTTCTCGAGGGCAAGTCTGTGCCAGCACATAGTACGTGCACTGTTTTCTTAGAAGGAGAAAAGAAGGAAGAAGAGGAGGAGGGAGGGAGGGGAAAAACGAGGGTGGGTGTTGGAGCTCTGAGTTGGAGCTGCAGGTGGCACAATGGCTGACTTGGCGGGTTCCTGGGAGGCAGGGGGGAGCTGAGCTCTTCCTGGGTCCGTGGAGGCCAGGCACATAAGGGGGGTGGGGGGAGTGCCTCACCTTTGATGATGGACTTCATGTCGCACTTTGCCGAGTCGATGTTATGCAATGCGATCAGCAGCTCTCCAGGGTTCAGCGGGGACAAGGCCGAGTTCCCTTCACCTGCAGTGGGAGAGGGTGGGGGGGGCGGGGGGAGAGACAGTATGGCAGCCTAAGTGAGATCTCCGAGTCCCTCCCATTGGGGGAACAGTGAATGAAGATGGGGTGCCCTCTGCTTCAATGGGACTGGGGGGACAAAGGACTAGAGCAGGGGTCCTCAAACTTTTTAAACAGGGGGCCAGTTCATTGTCCCTCAGACCGTTGGAGGGCCGGACTATAGTTTAAAAAAAAACTATGAACAAATTCCTATGCACACTGCACATATCTTATTTTGAAGTAAAAAAACAAAACGGGAACAAATACAATATTTGTATTTGCATGTGGCCCGCGGGCCGTAGTTTGAGGACCCCTGGACTAGAGTAAGGGAAGACTGAGAACACAGAAAGGGGGGGCCGAATGAGGCAGCAGCCAGAGAGCCATCTCCTCCGGGAAGCCCTCCTTCACAATGCAAGGCCTTCTCTTGCTCTCCGCCCCCACTGGGTTCTCCGAGTTAGGGCAACATCTGAGTGTGGCTTGGCGGTCCGCTCCCCGCCCACGGGCTGTGCACCCATGAGGGCAGGGCTAGATGAGCTCATGGGGTCCTCAGCACAGCGGACACACCTGGGCATCTGCGGGCCAGGCCAGGCCAGGACGAGGCAGTGTCCGCAGAGGCTCACACGGATGCCGTGGCAGTGGCTGGGGATGGCCCTCTGCAGGCGCCGCTTTGAGGGCCCCAGACACTCTACGTGCATGTTCTGAATCACCAGGTTGTGTGGAACAGCCTCCAACACCCACTGGGGTAATTTTTCTAAGTTAAACGTTTAGTTTGTTTCTTTTTAAAAAAGTATGTTTTTATTTATTTTAGAAAGTGAGGAAGGGAGAGGGAGAGAGAGAAACATTGGTGATTGGCTGCCTCCTGCACACCCCCCACCGGGGATGAAGCCTGCACGGGGCATGTGCCCTGACCGGGAATCAAACCTGTGACCTTTGGTGCAGGAAGGACACTCAGCCCCTGAGCCACACCTGCCAGGGCAAGTCTCTCTCTTTTTGACCCTGAGAAAAATCCCCTCACCCACAGCTCAGGGGTTCAGGCAGGAGCCGAGGAGCAGCAAGAATGCCTGAGGGAACCCTAACCGGTTTGGCTCAGTGGATAGAGCATCTGCCTGTGGACTCAAGGGTCCCGGGTTCGATTCCGGTCAAGGGCATGTACCTGGGTTGCGGGCACATCCCCGGTGGGGGGTGTGCAGGAGGCGGCTGATCGCTGTTTCTCTCTCATCGGTGTTTCTAACTCTCTATCCCTCTCCCTTCCTCTCTGTAAAAAAAATCAATAAAATATATTTTAAAAAAAATAAAGAATGCCTGAGGGAGAAAAGCATTTGGGCCTGGGAATGGAAGACAGGAGCAGAGAGTCAGCCCCAGGCTCTACAATGCTGCTTCCGCTGTGGCTGGAACCATCACCCACACAGCACACAGCACAGAGCACAGGTGGGGGTGGCGGGGGACGGTGCGGGAGGCTGGACAGGTGTTTAGACGGCGCTGAGTCTGGATGGCAGCCCAGGGAGCAGGGCGAGCCCTTTCTCCCTAAAGGTGGCATCACAGGCCCCCTCCCGCCCCCAGCCGCCCACACCTCATTGCCGGGACCCTTCTTCCTGCCTGACCACGTGAGGGGGCCTCCCAGAGGAGGGCAGGCCTGACCTACCGTGCTGGGTGCCCAGCAGGCGGTTGAAGACCTCCTTCACCACGATGGGGTTGAGTTTGATGAGCTTCGGCAGGGCCTGGATCACTTCTTTCTACAGGGGAGGGCGGGGAGGCAGGTCAGCGGCCTGTGGCTCGCCTGGGTGGGGGTTGGGCTCCGGCCTCTGATCCTTTCCTCCTCTCACTCCCTCTGGCCCCTCAGGGCTGAGCTTTCTCCCCAACTCAGTGACAGCCCCCCGCTTCCTCTCGCCCCTGCCCCCTGCCGCCAAACTCACCCCCTGGACCAGCTCACTGACGTCCCCCACAAATGGAGTGTTCTCATCATCACCCCCTCCTTACACACAGGAGATGGAACTCACCCAAGGTCTCCCAGCCCCCTGGGAACAAGATCCAGGGGAAACATGCTGGGGGGGCAGGGGAAGGGGGGTTCCCTACGTGCTGGGAACAGGTCTAAGCCCCAGAATGTGCTCACAGTGGGGCACCCAGTCCCCTACCTTCTCCAGCCCGTTGAGCACAGGGATGAGGAAGCGGACATCGGGCAGCCGCTTGTGGTAGAGATCCCGGACGCGCTTCACCAGCTCCGGGGAGGGCGGGACTGCAGGCAGAATGAGGAGGCGGCACGGGTGTTGGGG